TTATAATTCGCATGTATGCATTTTCTTTCATCCTTGAGCATCTGAAAGCTCACCAATTATCTAAGAATTTTGAAAAGGCTAGTATTTAATATCAGTGTACACACTATTATTATAGGCTTTTTGCTCATCAATTAAGCAATATGATTATCCCCTGCTTTACCTCACCCTCACACAGGTCTTTTGAAACAGTTAAGCTAGCTCTGTGCCTCCACTCAGGTACAGAAGCTGGGGATGGCAGCAGAAAGCCACCTGTTTTAATGGGGATTTCTCTGGATTTCAAGCAGGTCTGCAGCACTCCAGGGCTGCAACTGTCACTGTGCAGGAAGGGACAAACAGGAATCAAGCTGCAGTGCTACTTGCTAAGTTTCTTCTTTCTCTTCTCCTCAAAGTGAATCCCAACCCTGAATTCCAACACTATCTTACTTTGCCTAGAGAAATCCTTCCATAATGCAACGTTATGTTGTTAATTAAAAAAGTGATGAGGGACACTTGCTCTAGATACTTTTCCACGACACCCACTTGAAGGAAAAGTGATACAGCACAGACAGCTGTTAAATGTGCTGTAGTGGTAACCCTACTCTTCCTAACATGCTGTGCCCAGGATTATGCTTTCCCAGCCTATGGTCAAGTCAGTATTCTAACTTTCTGCTGACAATAAGTGACTGTGGGACAGGTGGAAATGCTTCCTGCTAGGAGGGCAAACTCCAAGATGCAAATTTGGCCCTTGTAGCTCATACTACCAGATGAGCTGTCCTCATGCAAAACTGTAATTACCTGCAGCACAGTAACAGAAGACTCTGTATTTATTATCTGAGAGAATACAAGTTCTGCTGGAGCACAGAGCCATCCCTGATCATCCTTGGAACAGCAGCCTCACTGATAATCAAATTCTGTCCCAAACTTTTGCTAGCATCTGGCCAACTGGCTTTGCATTGATAAATTCTATTCACAAGTCCCACAGCCTACACCCCTCTCTTTCCTCATTCCCTACCTTTCCTATCTCAGAATTAATGCTCCCCTCCCCAGGAAGCTGAAGCAGGCCCACTCTCACCATGACACAGTTGGGCTTGTTCACTGACCACACGTTGACCCGACAGTCATCTCCTCCGGTCGCCAGCAGCCGGCCCGATTTCTTCCCCAGGACTAATGAGGACACGTTGCTGCTGTGAGCCACGATCTCTTCTGCACAGGATGAAGCAAGCAGTTAGGATGGTCCGCATTACAGATTTTCCACCCCATCCCTTCTAAAAAGGTTAAAAAAAAAAAAAAAATCATCTTGCTCCAGAAAGCATTTCCAGTTTCCACCAGACGAGCTGCAGCAGCTTGCAAGTCAGATAAGAAGTCGCACTATTATCTGGCTTCAAACAGTCCTTCTGGGCTCTGTCTGCTGCACTTAAGATGTTTGCTGGCCAAGCTTCACGACTCCAGTGCTCACATGGCTTCCTAAAAGCATCTTCTCTCCCCAGCAGCAATGCAGCAGCTTTTAAAGACTGCAGCAATCTGCTCACTGAGGCAGCTTTTCCTTCCGCACCGAGGTGGGTCAGCAGAGCTGCTTCAGAAGCTGCAATGATAAGCAGCAGAAACACACTCCTAGAAAAGAACTCTAACCTGGAGAGCTGCATCCAACCCCAGAGGGACTCACAGTTTGTTACCTGACAGAGCAAAATGCCAGACTCAGCAGAGGGAGAGGTGGAGCTGCCTCCCTGTGCCAAAGTGAAACTCAGCAATGCCACAGACAGAGGAAGGATGGGCATTTATCTGAAGGGGCACCAAGAAGCAAACGTGGCCGATATGGAAAGACTGGAGGGCTGATGGAAATGCTAGAGTTCTAGGAAAGAAAGCCTTGCAAGCATGCGGCAAAAAAAAAGCCAAAAGAGCGCTTTTGCACAGACATCAATTTTTATAATGGATTTTAAAATCCACCCAAATTTTTGGCAGGAGCTTTTGGCAGATGTATTTACCAATTTCTTCCCCTGGCTCCTCTCTTCTTTGAGAGTTTACTGCATTTGCTGGCCTAATAGGTATGAAATTTGTTATAAAAGGGGCAGGCAGTAATCAATTCAGCTCTGCCTGGGGTTGCTCTGGTGGGAAGGGCGATGTGACCGTGCAAAGCACATCACTAATCCAAAGGGCCATCAGACAGCTGCAGCAATAATTACATCTGCTTTGATCTCAGGCTCTGAGTGTTTTTCTGAAAGCAAAACTGCGCAACTTTCACTTCAGCTGGAGGAACACCTTTCAAATTACACAGGTAAATGGACTTAAACGAGATGAGCCAAGCTGAAAGTACGTGTGCTCTGTGATGAAAGACCAATCTTCCTCTGGACGACGCTGAAGGAGGTACGTGTGCAAAGAATCAAAGGCAACAAGCAGTACAATTAGTACTGAGAGACCAACTCACTTGTAAAAAAGTTAAGTACAGATGCTGAGCGCTGCTGCTACCAATAGGAATGCATCAGCACCCCGTGCTTTTCGTCTTCCTGGTTTCATTCTTCACAGTAGAGCGGATGTTTCAGTGTCACGGCTGAAGCCCCAACCCCAGCCCACACGTGGGCCCTCCCCTCAGCCCCAGGGCCTTTTCTCGGGGTCACAACGCCACCGAGCCCCCCAGCAGCACTCTGAAGAGGACGCCGAGGGAGGGCAGAGCCCAGCACCGCGACGTGTCGATCTGCTGCCGGCGGTTCCCACAGCTACAATTTCAGCAGGACGGCACAGAAATCCGCTTTTCCGCCCCTCACACAGGGCACGGGCGGCTCACCTCGGTGCAGTGCCACCTCCCGGCCCAGGCCCGCTCCCAACAGCCGGTTCCCCCCCGCGTCCCTCCACCACTCACGCAGCTTCCAGGCCGTCTTGGTGACGACGGCCGCTGCCATCTCCCGCCGGCCGCCAGGCTCCGCGCCCGGCTCGGGGCTCGACCCCCGCCGCGTCCTAGCACGGCCGCTCCCCCGCCACCATCCGCAGCTCCGCCGCCTCCCTTCGAGCTTCTCCTCGCCGCCGATCCCCGCGGGCGGCCCGTGGAGGCCGACGGACCCGCACCCGTCCGCTCGCAAGGCTCGGATGCCCCGACCCGCCCCCCTTTGCCCCTTCTTGCCCGGCGCCTGGCAACCGGGCCCTGGCAACCGGCCCCCCACCGCCAACCTCGGGCACGCCCCGCCGCCGCCCGGCTTCCACCAATCAGAGCCGCCCTTGCTCTCCGGCGTCCAAGCCAATCCGCGGTGCCGCTCTGTCCCGCGGAACAGCCGCGCCGTGCGGTTGCCGGGGTTCTGTCAGGCTCTCGACCAATGGGAGACGAGGGATGGCAGGTTGCCATGGGAACCACAGAGCGGCTGACCATTCGCAGCGCGGCTTCTTCGAGGAGCTTTTCCGGCCCAGCCAATAAAGAGGGGGCGGAGATAGGGTCGCTGCGGGGTTTTCTTGTTGTTGTTGTGGGTTTTTTTATTTTTAATTTGTATTTTTTTTGTAGGTTTGTGGGTGCTGAGAAGGGTGACGTGGCTGCGCTCGGGTTCCCGTCAGGTGGGAATGGACCCGCAGCTGGGTGGTGCAGTGCTGCTCTCTGCAGTGTGCATTGGCTGGTTCTTGGCAGGCAGCTGTGTCCCCAGCGGCTGCCCGTAACAGGATTTCTAAGTTAATTTGTTCTGGCATCTGTTATTGAGTTAATGCTGATTTAATCCTCGCAGGCTGGCTTGCTCCTCTCCTGCTTCCTGAGCCCTCAGCATTTCTTTCCTCCTCGGTTCTCTGGGGTCCGTCATTCTCCAGGAGTTCACTCTTTGTGGTTCAGGAATTGCTTTGGCTCACTGCTTATATTCCTTTAATTACTTCAATGCTGTGTTCTTACCCAGGTAACGTATTTATCTGTCACGGAGGAGGAGGAAGTTTTTCACACAGGGGGTGGTGAGGCACTGGAACAGGTTGCCCAAGGAGGCTGTGGATGCCCCATCCCTGCAGGCATTCAAGGCCAGGCTGGATGTGGCTCTGGGCAGCCTGGGCTGCTGGTTGGTGACCTGCACACAGCAGGGGGTTGGAACCAAATGAGCATTGTGGCCCTTTTCAACCCAGGCAGTTCTATGATTCTGTGGTAAGAGCTTTCTCTCTATGTCACCTAGCTGCGTTAGGTCACCACGCCAGCAAAGCACTGACGGAGGGACGCAGCCCTGAGCTGCTCTTGTCAGGCACCTGAGGATGCCAGGTGCTGTCACAAAAGCCCTCAGAGCTGCAAAACCCAGGGGCTGGGAGGCTCAGTCACACCCAGAGAATTGCTGTGGTGTCAGCCACCTCCCCGGGAGACACAGACGCTGCACACAAAAGGAGTGCATCATCCTTCCATCAACACCTAATTGGATGCCACCTTGTGCAAGGGCAAGGTGGTAGATTTTAATGACCTGCGATATTTGGATTAAGCATAATGAGTTTCTTCTGCTAGGTGGCTTTCTACAATGAGAACAGTGCAAGAGAAAATGATTCTGTTGCAATAAAAAAGGCAGTCATTGGGGTTCTCTATAAAAGCTGAATAAAGTATCAGTTAAAATAGGCAGCGAGCATAAAGAAAGTCTCATCTGCTCTGACTCATGCTGTATCTCATGTGTAATGCACCTTATTCTATCACCAGGAAAACAAAACCCAAACATTTCTACCTTCCTCTGTCTCTGGTCAGCGTAGCCTTTGTTGAAGATGATCATTACAGATTGTTCCTTGAAGACAGCAATCATTGGGAGCTGTGGGCAGAACCACCAGATGTGTCTGCCGTGCCTCGTCCAGGACATCAGGAATTGATTCCTAGCAGGTTCGGGGACTTGTGTGGCAACACACTAACAGGCTTCTATTTTTTGGTATCAGGGAATGATTACTAGCAAGACAGTGGATTGTCTAAAATAGTAGATGGTACAGGTTCATTAAAATCCCCTGGAGCTCCAGACACAGGTGCACAAAGACTTTTAGCAGAACCTGATGAGAATGCAAGATTTCTTACAGGCAAGTAGGAAAGCCTTTCCACCGTTTTTAAGGCTGCTTTTAACAGACTTCAGCACTAATTTCCCGTGTCTGATCTGAAGGAAAAAGAAGCCATCAGGCATGACCGAGGTGCTCTGCTAGGCGAGGGTCTTTGCACAGTTTCTCCTCAAGAGCAAGGTACTTCTGTGGTGCTGTCTGCTTTTCCCTAGAACAAGAAGGGGAACTGTCAGAGGGAAGCTGCAGCAGGACATGGAGTAGAATGTCTCACAGAACAGCTTCACTGCTCAGTCACTAGGAACGCTGACTGGTAGACCTCCTTGTTCCCGTGAACATTTTTCTAGCAATCATTCCCAGTACCTGTTGAGTCTTAGTGCCAGAATGTGGATACGGAACATGGTTTCAGAGTAACCAGCAAGGAAGTCAGCCTCCTCCTTCTCGCTGAGCTGATTCTGATTTTCCTGAAACTGCTGGTTCTTCTTCTGCAGCTCTTCTACCTCCTGTTGAGAGAGAGAGTGGCAAGAAGTCAGGCTAATGGGAAGGAGAGTGAGGAGTGCAGATGCACAGAAGTGCAACTCAGAGTTCAGGGAGCCAAGATGAAGGAAACCACAAATAAGGGCTGTTTTATTTTCATGAGAGGCAGTGAGTCTGAGATGAGGTCTCACAAGAAGAAGAAAACAAGGGAATCAAAACACACGGACCAGTGAGAGGCTGCAAGACCAGAACGTGTTGCTTCACTATAGTTAAGAAGCACTGGAGAACCAAATCAGCTCTGCTTGAAACAAGGACTAAATTTGACTCTGGAGCTATTCTGTTCTTTGATCTCACATGTTAATGACAAAGTGACACAGGTGTGTCCAGGGCTCCCGTACAGGTAAAGCAGTTTTGTTTCCTGCCTGCTGTCACGATGAGATGTGTGTTGCCCCCCTGCCAGTGCAAAAAAACCACTCCAGTGACATGCACATCACAGAGCAAGGCTGGGAATACCTTTTCAAAATGAGCTTGGATGATGTTGGCCTTAGAAACCAGACGATTCTTAAAATCACTCAGGCAGTCGTCCCGGAGGCGGAGGGCCTGCTTTTTGGTTATTTTCTCTGGGCTGCCAATTTGGATAAGAAAAGGTGCCAGGTAATCCAGATCCTGCTCCTTTTGTCCTGGGAACTCATCCTTCTTTGCCTTCACCTGAAGGGGGAAGGACAGAAAGTCACAGTCCATCTGCTTGTTTCCCAAACACCCGAAATAAGACAAAATAAAAGCAAAGGCCTAAACTCCCTCAACCCAGTGGTGGAAATGATGTTTCCTTTTGCTATAGTTTGACCAAATCTGTAGCTTTTCATTAGATGCACAGTGCTAATGTGTTTTTCATTCTGTCATTTATTTTTTATCACCCTTTTTAATATCTTTCCTAATTTCCTTGACTGCAGAGATTTATCTTACATAAAATGTGCAAGAAGGGCTCCAAAAAAGGCATTTGTATTTGGATGGGATATTTTAAGTGCTATTAATTTGTAGGCTGGCAAATAGCTGATTCTTGGACCTTTGCCTCTGTGCTTCACGCCAGATGTCTGGCATATAAAAGCCAGTATCACCTCTTATAACCTCTCCAACCAGGAAAGTTCAGTCTAAACATCATTCACAAGAAACATAGCAGAGGTTTTAAAAAGCTGGAAGTCATTATTCTTCAAGGTTTTTTTTTTTATTTGCTCACAATGTTCATGAGGTAATAATTCCCTGAGAGAGACCCTGAAACAAAAGTGCCTTTGCAAATAATGAAAACAAAAAACCCAACTGATTCATAGAGGGATGAAATGTGCAAAGATGTGCACCTACACCTGATGAAAAGAGAAAGGGCAATAAAGATGCAGCTTTG